CATCCATCCAGCCATATCATTTATTAATTTTGCTAGCTAAGCGGCTGCCTAGTTTTGCCTGGGCAAGGAACTGGGCCAGGGTACCCCACAGTGTTGGAGAGATAGGGGTGCCCTGCAGGACTAACAGGCTGCTGAAGATTGGAGGAAAACTGGGCGTGTTTTGTCTGGCAGCGCGGGGAACACAGCGCGAACCCAAGGACCACAGCTCGAACCAGGGGACCACAACTCGAGGCCTGGAAACGGTTTGAATTCGGGGAACGAAAGTTGCACCCGAGGAACAAGCTCGAACCCGGGGACCTCCCGAACCCTGCGCGCAGAGCAGGAGGAGGCCGCAGCGCCCCCTCTCGGTGGAGCTCCACCAGACCCCCAGGTTTCCCAGCTCGGGCAGGCGACCCTCTAACCTTTTGAACACTGAGGCCTGTGTGAAGTCCCTCAGGCTCTTGAGCTTTCCCCAGCATGCCCGTGTGTTGCTCACCATTCACTTCCATTATAAGGGTCAGGAGGGCTGAGCCCTGATGGAATCTGGAGTGTGAAAGTGGGAAGAGGCATTGTCCAGAAAGCCAGGTGGTCACATTAACCGAGTCACATAGGGTCATACTTGCTGGGTAAAGCCAGTCCACCGTCTCATAAAACTCCCAGCTAGTTATTGCCCACGAGTTGGTCGTTTGGAGCTGCAGCTGACTCACCCTGGCTAATCTCTAGAGAAAGGAATGAAAGCCCCAGTCAGACTGCCCACATCTAGTTCTCAACAAAGTCATGGCGGAGGAGTCTAGGGCAGCGCCAGTTCCGGAGTCGGACCCCTGGGTGTGAGTCTTGGCTCTTCTGCTTTCTTTCAAGCTGCCTGAAACTGGAACTTGATGTCACAGTACTTCAGTTTTCTCATCAAGAACATAGAGGTAGCAATGTTTACTTGGTAGAGTTGTTGGCTAGCTACAATTGGTTTCTTTAAGCAAAAGTCTTAGAATAGTGGCTGGTGCTTCATGAGGGTGGAGTGGCATTACCACCACCACCCAAAGTATGGATCAGCTGAGTTCCTCCCTCAAGACAGTTCTTTGTAGAAAGCAGAATTCTTGAGTAGAAGGTTACTAACAGGCTCCTGCAATCAGAGGAGAGAAGCTATCTGGTCGTCAAGTAGGTGGGCCCTGGATGGGCCCTTCCCCCTACCTCAGTCCCTGGAGCACACCATGGGTCCAAGGATGTAAACAGCTCCAGGTTTCCAGAGTCTGTGTTTCTCTCTGCTTCATAAACACCATCAAAATTTTTGTTTCCAAGCGCCATTGCCTTCCCCTTGACATGAACTTTAAATATGCTAATGACATCGATTGACTGTAATCAAGTCTTGCTCTTCCTGCCTCTTTGGCCTGAGAGTCAGATTTTCTCTCCTTCTGTCTGAAGTGGCATCGGGTTGATTTCACTGAATTAAACCCTGGAGGTGGGGAGAGCAAGAACTTCTCCATAACTCCATGACCTCCCTGTTTATAGTGCTGACCTAGACAGCTTCACATTTACCACTCCTTCTGTGAAGAGATTCAGAATCATCTTTCATTTGTCCCCAAACTCTTTCTTTCCACTTGCAAGGGCCCAGTTCTCATCCTTCCAGCTCAGTGATGTGACTGTATCTACATACACAGCACGTGCCCTTCGAAAACTCTGTGTTCTCTATCTCCTCTCAGCCTGAGCTTTTCCACCAGAGAAACCTTATTTTCACACTGCTGCTCTTAACACCTCTATCATTGAGCTTGGGTTCTACTGGCACCTTCTGTTCCCAGACTGACCATCCCAAATACTCTTCTGTTTTTTCCTTTATCCTCTTTTTCTTTCAATCCAAGGTCAGACAGGTCAAGATTCCTTCATAGAACTAGCTAGATTTGGAAGAGAGAGAGGAAATATGAGGAACTCAAACAGGAATAAAAGACAACTCCATGTCCTTCCAAATAGTAGGAGAGATAGACAGATTTAAGAACAGCTTATGGTGGGTGGGACCCAAACACTCACCTCTTGCCTGTGAGGGTTATGTAAACTCCTATGTTGGGTTTTAATCATTGTATCCCAGTGAGGATTGAGGGCCTGGACTTATACTTCTCAGATTAGCTGTGGTGCAGAGTCCCATAGGCTTTTTAATGAGCTGTAATTTTGTAGTTGTTGTCAGGTGCCATTGAGTCAAGTATAACCCATAGCAACTGTATGAACAGATCTGAACATTGTCCTATCTTGTGCCGTCTTCACACTTCCTGACACACTAGAGCCCACTCCAGCAGTCACCATGTCAATTCAATTGGTCGAGGGTCTTCCTTTCCTTCGCCCACCCTCCATCCTTCCAAGCATAATGTCCTTCTCCAAGGAATGGCCCCTCCTAGCAACATGCCCAAAGTATGTGGGGCAAAGCCTCATCATTCTTGCCTCCAGGGAGCACTCCAGCTGCACCCTCTCCAAGACATATTTACAGAGTAGTAGAGTTTGTAGGTTTTCTTGGCTGGAATCTTTATAAAAGGAGATAGCCAAGGCTACTTGTGGTTACAAACCACCAACCTTTAGTGTACCAGTCAAGCGCAAATCAGTTATGCCATGCACAGATCTTATGCTTTGAAGCATGGTGTTGACAAAAAGTATTGAATATACCACCAACTGCCAAAAAACTCAGCAAAACTGGCTTGGGAAAAATGAAGCCAGAATTCTTCCTAGAAGTAATGATTTTGCCTCGCATACTTTTGGGCATGTTATTAGAAGGCACCAGTCCCTGGGGAAGGACATCACACTGATGGTAAAAATGGTGTGGGTGTGAGGACAGCATCACTTGACCACCCCCAGGTTCACAAGGTGGGAATATCAAGATGAACTGCAACAACTTTGCGTCTTCTGGATCTAGGAGTTTCAGTGCAGGAATCTCAAGTCCAACGACACACTCAACTCCTGGCTCTTCTTTTTTGATGGCGTTGAGATCCTGTTTTCTGCCTCTGAGATGACTTCTTTTATGCCTGGGGTCAGTGTGCAGGGAGGCTAAACTGGCCAATCCTCATGTTAGCATTTTATACACCTTGTTTTCATAGTTACATCCCCATAAAGGTACCATTATTGTCCAGGATCAAAATCAACCATATTCTTTCTTATCTTACTTCTCCTAGAATTCTAAAGCGCCTAAATACAAGCAATAATGATAAAACAAGAAACTTTAAAATCTCAAAAATAACTCATAGTGTGCTGAATCTAAAGAAAATTAAGAAATGCCAAGATTTGGTTCTTTTTTTATTTTTTTACTTCCCTAAGCCGGATGTGTCAAATGTGTTAATGTTCCGTTACCCAATGCGCACAGAGAATGGGGTGGAGCTCCCTGATTAAAACAAGCTTGGAAGGAGTGGCATCCACTTCCATAATAGCTTGCCTCTGGAAACCCTATGAACCTGGAGAGAGGATGAAAGGCACCCAAGCATCGAGGACTCTCCTTCATAGGGTCGTTATGAGTTGCCTATGACTCGACAGCACTTAAAAACAACAACAGCCCTTCATTGTCAAGAAGTTGAAATCTCTTTTAATGCATATGAAATTCAAAGCATTATGAGATGCTCTGAGGAAATGACATTTTTCTATAAAAAAGTATTAGCAGGAAGGAAAGGGGGAAAAAACACCCAACAGAAAAATTCCACCCTTCTCATGCTTCGTAAAGTTAACCAAAGGTTGTCCAACTCAAAATCAGTGTGGAAACATGGAGAGCAGATAAGGAACTATGGCTCTTGAAGGAAATTGAGTCTGGTTACTGGAGCCAAGCATGGTTTTAGAATAGGCCTATCATAAGGAGAGAGCACTATAAAATTAAATACACAGTGTGAAAAGCAAGTTTCTGGAGTTTAGTGTAGGGAGATAACTGAAATGAATTTTCAGGCTATGCAAGATTTTATAGCTTTTTGTATTTAATCAAACACTTGGATTTAGATTGTTGGGAGGACTGTGAGAGAACACATTAATTGTTATTATCATCTTCTCGGTCATCTAACCTGTTCCCTTAGAGAGCCAGCAATACCTTACATTTGAATAGCCCCCTCCAATCATGTGGCATAATCCGTAAGGAGAGA